GGGCATTGTGCAAGTCACTGGGTTTTCAGTGATGAAATAGAGAGTCCCTCACTTCAAGGACCACTGGCACCTTAGATACAGATTTTTCTGCAATTATACCTGACACCTGAAATAAGTATGCAGAGATCAGGGCTTAAAAACTTGAGATCTGTGTGTTCTCAGGCACAGATAGGTAGAGGGTTTTTGATTCAGAGGAACATGGATCATTCCATGAAAGTTCCTCTCTGCAGAAGGATGCACATATGTGCTACCCAGAAAATTCTACTGACAATTCTAGGGAGTACATAGAGCTCTGGAAGGCTATTCTTGAGCCACTTGGGGCCCAGGGGTCACTGGTTAAGCAGCTTTGTTGCTAAGAGAAGTACTAAACAGGCATGCATACTTGCAACGTGTAGTATTGTCACAACATGTGGACCAATTTGCATGAATTTGAATAGTAAATTAACAGAAAAGAAAAAATGTGCATGATTAGTCAACATGTTTTGGGTAATGAAGAAAGAAAAACTCTTAATTCATCAGCTACACTGAGCCTGAGTCATTGGAATAACCAGACCGTAACCAAAATAGGGCCCCTATCTGCCCCAGTTAACTGTGCCCTTTCTACACATTCTAATCTGAGCTACCTGTAAAGAGAGAGACTCTCTGTCTCTGGACCAACATATCAAACTGTATCTACATGACATATATGACAACTACATCATGTACTCTATTTACATGCATGGTACAATTTGATTTAAAATCAACTACTACTCTTTTCATAGAGCTGTGCTGTAGTTTTTCAATAAAACTTAAACATTGTCCTTGGTAAATTAATGCAAAATCCTATAAAGTGACTTATAAGATCACTGACTCAAAAAAAAAACACACAAAACTTGCAATATCTGCTGAGGTGGAGGTGTGAGCACACCGTTGGGTAGGTGAGAATGCCCTGGAGTTTGGGCTGTTTCCTGCATGATGATTCTTAATACAACCTGTACTTAGCTCTATTTTCTCTGCCAACAGCACGTAATAAATGCTATCAAAATGTCTCATTCCTGCACCTTGATGACTCATAGATGACAGTTCGAAAGCACTGAGAGTATTTTGAAGAGTACAGATAGTTCCGATATAAGAAGCCAAAAAGGAAGAAAGAAAAAATAATGACTGTAGAAAGGAGGAAAGAAATAGTCCCTCACATGTCAGAAGGAGAACACCACAATGAGATTTACCCGCCGTGCCAAAGACACAGGGCATATAAGTAGAAATTATGGCACATACAACTTCTCAGAAACCAAGAATGCAAGCAAATCTGCAAGAAAGCTTGTAACCATTGGTTAAATCACTTTTAAAACAACTTAATTTCTGACCTTTATTTATTTGCTCCCATTTCTCATCCTTTGACTTATCAAAAACTTACATCACATCAGACACAAGGGTTAAGAGTCAGGATAAAACCATGCATTTACTAGTAGACTTCCCTAGGCAACTTTCTGCATCTTTCACAGGGTCATCAAGAGTTTACGGAAGAATTGTTGCAATAAGCAAAATAATTTTATCTAAATTGTTCTTATCTACCTACCTCCTTTCATTCCTACTTCACCCAAGTGAGATAACTAGAGACACAAATGACTTAACATCTTCCCTCTTATAAAAAGAATGGTAAGAAACTGAAGCACAAGTAGATGCTATTTCCACCCAGAGTCACACAAAGATAGGAACAATATAGGAACAAATCTGTTTCCTGCCTTCATGTTCGTTTTATAAGACCAAACTACCTTCCAAGTTAATGCCTCCTCACAAATGGATCCCAGAAAAGAAATACAACTGCTGCATTATGGAGTGTAATAGACAGGCATTTTCCTAGTTAGATAAAAAAATCGAAATATAAAAATTATGCTTTGTGACAGTCTAGTAAATAGAAAAAAAGTAAATAATATGGCTTTTGAAAGAATTTGCTCACTTTTGGAAATATCCAAATGTCCTCCACTTCATCACAATAAATAAGGAAGGCATTTTAGAGAAACAATTTCAACAATCTTCCGAAATGGTGTCCTAAATTTGGAAAAAGTGTTTTTTTCTCAACCACCTCTGATACTTTTGACTCCCCTCAGCAATGTATCTGCAAGAAGTCATTTAAGAGTTGAACCAAATAACCCATCAGTATAAGGAAATTACTAGAATTGCAATAGGCTAAAAGGCAAAGAACCAACAGAACCTTTGGGTTGGAGATGTAGCTCATGAAACAGATTTACAAATAATGTGCAGTTCTGTGGACTGTGGGGACATAAGGACAGCACTTGAGCATCTCTGGGGCTTGGGTGGGGGCTGCATGCATTTTATGCTTCCTCGAGTTAAAAAGGAATAAAAAGGTTTCTCCACCTCTAGAAATGTTACCTCTCTCTCTGGTTTCATTGTGATCTATCAGCCCATTTTGTGGTAAACTTTCAACTCCAGAGTGCCTTTCTTATTCACTTTTTCCTACCAAAATCCTAACCACTCCGATGTCCTACAACTCAAGTGTCACCTTCATCATCTTTCTTGAGCCATCCTGTTAGATTTCATCCTGTCTACCACCCTTCCGCCCGCACTCTAGTTTCTTTCCGATGAAAGCCCTTGTCATACTCCACTTGGTATTCAGTTTTTGAAAATGTCTCTATGTCCCACTAGACTGCGCCTGACCACCTAACCATTCTTAATACTTATTTCACTGAATTGAAGTGAATTCCAACTAAGACCCAAGAGACAGTCTTCAAGTACAGATTAGTGTGGAATTGAGTTGTTATTCACGGCCTTTCTACATCACAGACAGCCTCAGTGTTAGTGATGACCTATTCAAATATGGGGAGACATTTCATTTAGATGTCATTTCTTGGGCCTTAGAATTAATTTTGGCCCCTGACTAGTAAGTAAGTAGCTTTCTATACACACACACACACACACACACACACACACACACACACACACACACCTTGCCATCTGACAAGGAGGCTCTGCGTCACCCACAGAAATGACGAGCATAACTTCTACGGTGTTGAACAATTTTATCAAGTGGATCAGAGGGCACTTCAACAGAGAACTGCCTGAGAAAGCTCTCATCTATCCACTCGGGAGGACAGAAAGAAATGATGATTCATTATCATCTCGGGCGTAACAGGACAGCCTGGGCAATCCTAATGAGGGAAGATGCTCAGAATCTATGGCGAGCCAAGTGGCTCTGATTAAGAAGTTTCAGGCAGAGATGAAAAAGCAAAACTTTTTATTTATTTTTTCTTTAACCAGACCTAAGAAACTTTAGAATTTCCTAAAAGTGCTAGAAAAAAAAATTAGGTGAGATTACTGTCAGAAACACCTCAAAAGTAAACATTCATTTAAAGTCCTGAGGAAATTCCACCGGTTACGTGGACTCTGAAAACGCTAAATGGAGGGCCCTGTTTCCAAGTTTATTTCAAGTGAACCTTTACCTACATGAGCTGCTACGCATCCCCTCTCAGATTCTTGGACCACATGCCATTTTATTTACAAATATCTGGGTGTGTTGTCCATTTATTCTTAAAACTTTTTAAATATAAGGAATAGCAAAGCCTGCCTTGTGTCATTTATGTGCAGTTTTCCTTGGCGGTAGAGAGCAAGGGCACATTCCAGCTTTTTGTGTCCTTCTCAGGAAATCCCTCTCCGAAGTTCAGTCACCCACATCGGTGGGAGGCATGAGGCAAGAGCTGAGAAGGTTGTAAATGTGCTTTTATGTTCTAAATCTCTAATACATATCTCCAAAGTTGACTGGCCAAAAATGCAATTAAAATATCAGCCTGCATCCACTTATGATAAGTTCCTAATTATATAATGTAGCACACTGTGCATAAGGTACTTAGGAAAAATCACTCCATTTTGCTTTTCTTTCATTTTATAGCGAATAAAAGACAGCTATGAAAAGCCATGGGTGAGGCTTTGCACAAAGCTGTATTTCTCAGCGAGCCTTGCCTGAAAGAAAGCACACCCTGATTAAAGGCTTAGGAAACCGGCATGGGATCAGTCTAGGCTACAGGAAAGGGGAGTGCTGCTGGGAGCGGGGTGATGCCAGTCTGCTGAACGCCTCCTGGAGGTGTGACAACGGCATGAACACATAGCCCCTTCCCAAGTGTGCATACATTTCCTTCTGTAAGAAATCAGCACGATTACTTTAAACACGTAATCACCTTAAAAGTTAATTGTAGAATAAAGTCGATTAGAAATGTCAAGTAATTTCAAGCAACTAATTAGAAGTCTCTCTCTCTCTCTCTCTCTCTCTCTCTCTCTCTCTCACTTACACACATGCACACACACATATCTCATTTTTTTTCATCTTCTGGGGATGATTGCATGTCCATTAAGTATTTCAACAGCCCAAGTATCCGTCACTAGATGAGTGGATGAAAAAGAGAGGGTACGGGGGGAAAAAAGGGACACATATGTAATACCCTTTGTAAGACTGTAAGCAATAAAATAAAATAAAAAAAGAAAAAAAAGAAAAAGAGAGGGTATATTTACACAATGGAATACTGCAGGGCTGCAAAAAAATAAAGAACTCTTACCCTTTTCAACAGCATGGATGGATCTGGAGATTATTATACTAAACGAAACAAGCCAGTCAGAGAAAGACAAGTAGCATTCGATATCCCTCATATGTGGAATCTAATGAACAAAATGAAATGATGAAAAAAAACAGGTTTAGAGCATGGATGTATGGAATAGACTGATAGACCTCAGGGGCGGGGATGAATAGGTGGGGGGATGGGGAAAAATTAACCAAAGAATTTATATATGTACTAGTATATGCATAGCCCATGGACAGGGGCAATAGTGTGGTGAAGGCCTGGGGGCGCAGGGCCTGGGTAGATAGGGGCAAGGCAGGATGGGGGATATCTATAACAGTGTCAACAATAAAAAAAATCCCCAAATTTCTGCCATATGTCAAGCTCTTCTTCAAAGATGCCTCACTGGCAAGGCTATTCACAGAATAGGCTCCTGTTGAAAAAGGAGTCCTTGTGCTCACTTTGGCAGCACACATACTAAAATTGTCAACCACACAGAGAGATTAGCGCGGTCTCTGCTCCAGGATGACACGCAGCTGTGAAAAAGGAGTCCTTGCGATCAGGAGATAGGGGAAAGGTGACAGATCCATATTTGTCATGGGAGAGCATGGCTTAGAGTTGTCAAGGAGAGTAAAGAAATTTAAGAAACAAATTGCTCTGTTACATTCCTAGTGCTGCTCTTACAAAGTACCACGAACTTGGTGGCTTAAAACAACAGACGTTTATTTTCTTGAATCTCTGAAGGCCAGAGTCTGGAATCAAGGTGTCACAGGACCACACTCCCTTGGAAGGTTCTGGGGGAGAAGTCTCATGCCTGTCCCAGCCTCTGGCAGCTCCAGGTGCTCCCTGGCTGGTGGCAGCATCCTTCTAATCTCTGCCTCTACCTTCACGGGGCCTCCCCTTCTGCGTTTTCTCCTCTTCTGTCTGTCTCTTCCTCTTCTTATAAAGACACTTTTCATTGGATTTAGGGCCTATAGGGATGACAATATACCCACCCCCTATAAATACATGCTGATTTACTACAGGGATAAGCTGGTTTCTTTGGGGATAAGAAAGGAGGAGATGCGAGAGGAGATGCAAACATTTTATTAATTTGCGATGTCTTTCCCTGGCAGGCAGGGTAGCAAGTTCCAGGATAAACTAAAATCATCCTTAAAAAAAAAAAAAAGTTACCCCCTAACAGCCCTGGCCAAAAGTTAAATAAATAAATAAAAATCCCAATGACTCCTAATTGTTTATGAGAACAGAGGCTTATGAAGGAGTTTCCACTGGGTACAGGAGGAAAGTGCAACTTCTGGTCGCTCGAGGGGGAAAGGGTAGGAGTAGGGCCTGTGCAGGCTGGCTTCAGCCCACAGGGAGGAGCTGGGATGATCTCATCTTGAAATCCTTAACGTAATTGCACCTGCCAAGCCCTTGTCTCCAAATAAGGTCACATTCACAGGTGCTGGGGAGACGTGTGAACCTTTTGGGAAGAACCACCATTTGATCCACTCCAGTTACCGTAATGAACCCCCAGGAATAATGCCATTTATCACCTATCATCTAAAAGGAGCTTGCTCAGTTGGTTGGAGTGTTGTCCCATACACTAAAAAGGTAACAATCGATGTTTCTCTTTCAGATCAATGATTCTCTCTCTCTCTCTCTCTCTCTCTCTCTCTCTCTCTCTCTCTCTCTCTCTCCCTCTTAATAAACAAACATATCCTCAGATGAAGATTTTTTTTAAATGGAGCAAGGGCCAAAATGTGCCTGAGTCTCAGTCAGTGTCTCCATAGAAAGCAGATAGATTCCTATCTTGGAAAAGCTGGTTGGGATAGTACATGTAAATGCATTTGGTCAATTACACACACATTATCGCTAATAAAATGACTGACAAAACACTTTTACATATGTAGCCAAATGTCTTATAACCCGAAAGCTTAGCACCTAGTAGATACTCAAAAAAGTCTCTGGAGTTGTTTAATGAAAACGACAAATGAATTAAATATTTTCTGGAGGTGCATTCTCTGTGGAAGTGCCAAGATTCACATTCTAGGAGCTACGTGCACACTGCTCATGTGAGGCTGGGATAATAGATATTTACCAGGGCTTCTTTCTCACCGTCTCCCCAGCAGGTCCTGTTTGGGTTGTAATTTCTTCTACAATAAATAAAGAAACACAGCTGATTCAAGAGCAGAATAAATCCCGAAATTAGAGTCTCTTCAAGGCCATGCACTTAAGTTTAATGTTACCCATAAAAATTCCTTCCCATAAAGAAGTGCAGAATTCTGTTATTTTCCAAAATAAACAACCCATTCCTTCCTGGTTACGTCGCAGCTAGGTCAGAAAGAGTGGCCTTACTCCTCAGCAGCTAGAAAATTTTCCTCACAAATTGTGTCTTGTTATTCTTCAGAATGGGTGTTTATACAGGGCATTGTTTGGGCTTAAAATTCAACTTTTCTGATTCACATATCTGTTTGCTATATGAAGAGTAAAGAGGCATTGCCTTTGTATAACTTATGTCTAAGGAAAGCAAAAGCTTACCCTGAGGATACTGGCAAGTGCATATTTCCTAAAGATGGTTCTTTCTGTACAATCAGAAACTGTGGAGGTGATTCTGATGCACCCAAATGCTGAGAACCACTACATGGGGGCGGGGGGGGGGGGGGGCACGCCGGGGAGCAGTTTAAATCACAGGTCACTGGACCTCACTCCCCACCCTGAGTTTCTAATTCTGTAGGTCTGGTGTGGGCCCAACAATTTACATTTCTAACAAGTTCTAAGTTGTGCTGATGTGCCGCTTCAAAGTCAACACATTGAGAATCTCTTTTTTAGATACAGAGAAAAAAAAGAATCCAGACTACACATTTTTTTTCCTCCCACATTTCTTCCCTGGTGGAGGGGTAAGTTGGAATGAAGAGAGAAGCGAGGAGAAGAGTGTGTGACATTAATCGGTGTTCCTCTCCATGAAAAAGAAAACCCTCAGGACCAAGAAATAAAGGTGCCCTTCAATATCATGTCCTAACCTTTGCACCAACAGCCCTGCAGACCTGAACTCCCAGGAGCCAGCCTAACAAGGAGCACATAAGGTTGCAGAGGACCCTGGTAGGGATGAGGCGTTAGTCTCAAATCAATAAGGAAACCAGAACCAAACACACAAGGGGAGAGTTGACCATATGTGACATATGGGACACACTTGGAAATAATGGGAGGGGGACACCTGTGCCATCCCAAAGGAATATAGGTAAGAACTACAGCCCATGGAATTTGAACATGAGAGTGTATCTCTTATTATTTGAGCTCATAGACTGGCGGTGCATTTGGCTTGTAGTAAAATATGGATGCTCAATGTCCTTTGTTACTTAAAAGGTAGCAATCTCTGTGTAGAACGGAGAAGACATTTTAGATTTTTTTTTAATTTCCACTGTATCTGTTACTATGCTTTACTTGCCGCAGACTCATCTTTACTTACTTCATCTCCCCCCCAACATTAAGTTGCACATGCGATTTCTCAACATAAAATTTTTCTGTAGTTTTGTGTTGCCACAGAATAATTCGCAAACCCCTTAATTTGGCATGTGAGGTAGTAGCACTCTCTCTTAGTCCCTGGACTTCGTCTTAGACATTTGTCTAGAACTGGGATCAGCCTTGACGGAGAGCTTGTTAGAAATGCAAATTCTTGGGTCCAACCCCAGACTTACCGTGTCAGATCTGCACTTTTAACAAGGCTCCTCCTGCTGATTTCTCTGCACATTACAGTCTGACAAACACTCCTGTAGACGACTGACAACCTTTCTTTCACCTTGGTAATCTTTTACTCATAACTGGCTGACACGGTCCTATATGGGCACAAGCATTGATGAGAGAAAAGATGGTGGATCTTGACTCCTATACCAGGTGCAAAACCTTCTTCAGAGCCAAATGCAGTCCTCAGAAATGTTTGTACCTTTTCTAAGTTCTTTGCACCAACTGGCCCTTTACAGAAGGCTCAGAGAGAACCACTGTTGGAAGCTAAAATAATGACAGCAATAACCGGAGATGCCATTCCCCAGGCCCGGATGTGTACACCTGTACCTCAGGCCCTGCACTACCTCAAACAGCAATTCAGTGAATGTGGATTACACCCAACTGCCAGTGATGCTCCTTTGGTTTCACCGAGGACAGTGCTATAAGAAAGCACAGCTGTAAACTCACCACCTGCTACCGGATTTAGTGCTGGTCCTGAACACAGAATAAAATCACTGTTAGAACTACTGTTGAGTTGTTTATACTCAGCTGCACCTGTAAAAGGAAGGCCTTCTTCTATGCTTACCCATGCAACAGAGCTGTGAACAATCCTAAAAGGGTAAAACACAGTCTGAGGCGTGACTGTGTATGTGTTATTTGTTGTTGTTGCTTTAGTATGTTGGGGAGATTATGTGAAACTGGGATCTTCCTTTGTTCTTCACCAGTTAAATCTTCCTTTTTTCTTCACCAGTCCCCAGGTGGGGTTCTACAAAGAGCCGTAGCCTCATTTCACTGGTTTTCACCTCACCTGCCCAAAGGATCTCAGATTGATGCCAAATGACCCGTGGGTGTTTCTTGGAAGTCGCAGATGTTTGCATATCTGTTTACACATGTCTGCTCCTCTGATGCTGGGTCCCAGCTATTGCCAAGTGCAGGGACTAAGATGCTGGAAGCTTTCGTGACACGGTGCCTTCGATGGAGAGGCGCTGCTATAGAGATTTCCCTGAGACTGCTCCTTCCAGTTGCACTGGCTTGTTTTCCGTCGGATCCAGTCATCTGGGGTTTGGGAGACAGTGGACAGACACCATACAAATCAGAAGTTCTCTCTCCCCTCGTGTTATTGGAAACATTTTAATAGGCTTAGGCTAAGCCTTAGGCTCATTGAACCTGATGGTTTCCTTCACTATGAGTTTTCTCATGGGATGCTTCTTGGTCCCATGTGCAAATACATGTCTGCACAGCTCACATAGATATGCCCGGGGTGACTTTGAATTAAAATGCCAGCTATGTGAGTGTCACTTTAAGGTTTTCAATTCTCTTCTGGAAGCACTTTGTAGTGGTTGGAAATAAGTTCATGCTACTATAAGGATGACTTTGAAAACTGGCAATGAAAAAAGAGATGGCAATCTCCCGTGATTCCTTTTAGCAAAACTTAAATGTTATATTGTTTCATATGAAATTTAATTTGCAAGCCAGAAATCTAAATTGATTTGAAAAATCATTTTGTGTAGCTTAAATTGTTAACAAGTGGTAGAATGCCATCTTGTCACAGACACAGTATATCTTATTCATATGGGGGGGGGGCGGGGGGAAGATCGTAAAAAACCAAAAATTCCCATGAGAACACACCACCATTAATATCAGCACCCAAATTTACTCTGTGGCTCTTTTGTTCATAAAATTGTTTTTATTGCATGAACTTCGAGCCTGGTGGCTCTACTAACAAAGATATGTGAAGAACCATCAAGAACATCCAAATACTTTTGCTTAAAAGATCATATTTTTAATAGAGGGAGTTTTGATAAGATGAGGGAAAATAAAAGCTTTCAAAAGAAGGTAAACTGAAAAGTATTATTAG